CGGAAGCACAAGAGCTCGCCGACCCCTTCGGGCGAGGACGCTGAGGGGCCGGGGCTGGCGGGGGACTGGCTACCCGCCGGGGTGGCCTGCACATGGATTTTGGTTTCTTTTGCAGTTTTCTAACTAATTGCACAACTCCGCTCTCGGGGTGGCAGCCGGGCTCCGGCGGGCGGGGAGGGGCCGCAGCTGCAGACCCAAGCCCCCCCAGGTCCCTCCTCGCCCCTGGCCCCTGGCGTGTGTGGGTGTGTGTGCGTGTGCATGCCGTGTTCGTGTGCAGGGGGCCGGGGAGGCGTGCGTGTGCGTGCCTGTGGGCTGCGGTGGGCGTGTGCGTCGGGGTGGGCCGCGGGGCCGTGTGTGTGTGTGTCTAAGTGTGAGCCAGGCGCCCGCCGCCTGGGCATTGGCTGAGCCGACCCCCGGCTTCCGGAAGGCCGGGGCCTCCGAGGTGCCGGTTAGGAGTTCGCATCCGCTTCTGTGGAGGGCAGCAGGGACAGGCCGGGCGGCAGGGGACCGAGAGCCTGCCCGGAAGTCACACTGGCAGCAGCCATCTAAAGGGCTGGGGGTCTGGGGGGCGGCAGAGGCGGGTGGGGCCCCCCTGTAAATATGACCCCAGGGTGGTCAGAGAGTCCCATGCCACCCTACCCCTTGTGACTTCCCCCTTCAGCCTCCGGCTGACCATGCATGCCACGTGGCCAGCCCCTTCCCAGACCCTCTCTGGAGATTGCCTCCCAGCTCCTTCCCCATCAATAAAACTCTGTTTACAACCACCGGCCCCCAGGCTCCGCCTCTGCTCTGTTACCTGGAGGTGGCTGAGGACAACTGGGGACACGGTTGACACCCACAGCCAGGTCAAGGGAGTCAGGTGTGAAAAGTGGGGAGTCCAGGGGGATCCCCATTTCTGAGTGTTTCTTTAGCGGACATTCAGTGTGCGCCACCTGTACAGCCCACCCCCACTGGGGCCCGAGGACCCTACCCTTGCAGGACCCGAAGCCCAGTCTGGGGACCAGTCGCCTGTGGTGAGCCAGGTCTGAGCACCTAGGGCGGGTGTGACGGCCAGGGTCGGGGAAATGTGTTTGAGCTGGTGATGGGTATGACCAAGACAGACAGCGGGACACGGTGCAGGCTGACGTGGGGGAGAGCTTCCTAGGTGTCCTGTCAACTGAGGGGTCAGCGGAGGAGCAGGCCAGTGGAGGGCTGCAGAGAGTATCCAGGCGCAGGAAGCCCCTGGCCAGAGAGTGGGTGCAGGAGGAAGAGGGGGCGAGGGGACCGGGAGGTGAGCCGTCACCGCCATCCACGTCCAGAGCTGCCACTTCCCATCCGAAACCTCAGGTCCACTGGACCCCGAGACCCCTTCCCCTCCCCCTGGCCTTGTGAATTTTAATTGGGACACAGAGCTATGGGGATCTTAAGATGGGATGCGACCTGCTGGTTTTGGGAGAGGGCTTTGGCCACGCCACCATGGCTCTCCATGCAGCTCTCTCTGCGGGCTGGACCCTGGGCACAGGATGGGAAGGGACAGGCCAGTTCCCTGGCCTTGGGAGACCAGCAGGGCAGAGCCTGCTGCAGCCTCCACGGCTGCTCTCTATCGACCCTGTGTGTCTGTCTCTGTGGGTCCGCTCCTGACAGCGGCTCTGTGGGCCTGTCACTCTGTGTGGGGTGTCCGGCTCTGAGTCTCTGGCTCTGTCTGGGCCTCTGCTGTCTTTGTGTCATTCTGGTCCGTGTATTCCTGAGTGTCTAGCCTGCCTTTCAACCGGGGCTGCCACCGTGAGCCAGGGGTCCGTCTCTGAACCTAGGGGTTCCACTAGGACAGACTCCTAGGTCACCCTCACAGCTGAACTCAGCCCATGAGTGTCGGGGCTGGAAGAAGTGTCCAGGTGTGCTGGCACGTCATACTTGGAACTTGGTTTTAAGGCTGGAAGCGGCCCTGCCTGGCCGAGCCGTGGAGCGCAGCCAAAGCAGTTCCCCAAGGTCAATGTGTAGCCCCCAGATGCATCAATGTGGAAAGGAGGGGCTCAGGGCCTGGGTTCCTTCCAGCACCACACACACACACACACACACACACACACACACACACACAGAGCACGCCAGTCTCCACTGAGGAACAAGATCGCTAAGAAAGCCCTGGGAGGAGGGTGAGTCTGGCTTCGTGGGGGGGAGGCCCAGCCCCGGGGAAGCTGGGCACGGTCTAAGCGCATCGAGCGGAGCCGTGTTGCGCTGAGCTGTCATTCAGAACCGGGGCGAAGAGGCAGCGTGTGCTCCAGGCGGGGACAGAGAGGGCAGAGGTATGTCCCTGCTCCTCCACCCTGGGCAGGCCTGGACACCAGGCTGTGCAGAGACAGGTGGACCCTGGGTCCTCCCTATTCATGAAGCCACAGGGGAACAGGCCTGCAGGTTGGCACAGACCACCCCTGCCCATGGACAGACAGACTGCTCCAACCTGCACCCTCCTGCAGCCAGGGGCCTTGCCCCAGAGCCAGGCTCCTCCCCAGCCATTGTTATTTGACACTACTAACCTCCCTGATGACAACAAAACCCCCACAAAACCCCCACTTCATTTTAAAAAAGAAAAAGGACGTGGTGACGCCCTCCAGGTGGTGCCCCCCCAGGGTGGTGCCCCCTCCAGGTGGTGCCCCCCCAGGTGGTGCCCCCCCAGGTGGCACCTGGCAGTCCTGACCCTTGGAATCCTGGGCTGGGGGAAGTGGGACTCAGCTCGCGAGACTCTTGGGTGCCACAAAAACAGAAAGTCAGGGGAGAAAAACTGGGCTTAGAAGCCAGAGATGGGAGAAGGGCTGGCGGACGCTGCTGCCCGGAAGCGGTTTCGCAATCCCCCCCCCAGCCCTGGCACTAACGGGAACAGGATGGGTGGGGCCTTCCACATGACTGGGTCCCCTGCCCCAGTCCAAGCAGGTATAATGCCACTTCCTCAGGCCATAGAGACCCAGGACGACCAGAGAAGAGCCACCATGTCCCCCTGGAGTGGGCAGCAAATGCAGAGGTAGGTCCCCCGGGCACCCCAGCGGGCCCAAGGCCAGGCTGTGTAGAGACAGGCAGCCGTCCCAGCCCGAAAGCCGCAGGGGGCCGAGCGGCTGGCACAGACCAACCCTGTACCCGCACACACCTTCAAAGCCCAAGGGGCCTCAGGTCGGGCAAGTAGTGGGAGAGACCTGGGGCCGGGACGGAGGCTGTCCAGGCGATGTCTGCTAATCGGGCCAAGCCTGGAGGAGGAGAAGTCCCCCAAAGCCACCCAGGGTTATGGTACCAAGTAGAAACCACCCCCATCCCCAGACCTGCCCAAAGCAGGCCACACTTCCATGTCCAGGATCCCCTCTTGGCACCTGAGCCCTGAATTGTTCTCAGGAGCAGAACAAAGACAACCGAACCCTATTTGGTCACAAATAGACAGAGTGAGGAAGAGGCTAGAGTGGGCACTCCTGCCCTGCAGGGAAGGGCGGGAAGACTTCATGGAAAAGGGGCACTGGATCCAGGGCTTTGTAGGTTGAATAGGAGTTCACTGGCTCTGCCATCAGAACACACAACTAGGGAGACAAGAACTGACCCAGAAAACAAGCTGGATCAGAAGACACTAGCAAGTCGGACCGTGAACAGTTAACAGCCCATTAGGGCTGGGCCGGCGATGGGGTAGGGCAGATGCAGGGGTCAGCTCAGAAACCCAAAGCCACAGACTGAGGATTCCCCCGGGAACAGGGTCCCTCCTGGCAGCTGTGGGGTGGGGCGAAGAAGGAGGCCGGGAGAGGAGGAGGAAGTGATTGCGCGTCCTAGCCCTGCTGAGCCAGGTGGCGGGAGGCGCAGGAGGGTCCCGGTGTTGTTGCTAGCGGGGCGTTTCCGCTGTGGCTCACCAGCCCCTCTGCGATTGCCTAAGCTCAGGCGGCCTTGACCCCCTCTTTCTAGAACCCCGTTCCTACTGCTGCTGTTGGTGGCCCTGGCCCAGGGCGTCACGCCGAGCCCCAAAGCGTGCGTGACCTTGCCGTCCCCCGGGGGCAGCACCGTCTCCTGCTTCTCGCCTGCCCGGTTCCCCGCGCCCCTCCCGGCTGACACGGTCCACCTCGCGGTGGAGTTCTCCACGCTGACCCAGCTGCCGGCCAGCGCCCTGCGCGGCGCCACGGGCCTCCGGGAGTTACACCTGGCCAGCAACCGGCTGCGGGAGCTGCCCGCCACGCTGCTGCTTCCTGTGCCGCGGCTGGAGGTGCTGGACCTCACCCACAACAGCCTCACCCAGCTGCCCCCCGGCCTCTTCCGGGCCTCTGCCGCGCTCCGCGTCCTGGTGCTGAAGGCTAACCGGCTGGAGGCCCTGCAGGCCTCGTGGCTCCTGGGCCTGAAAGGCCTGGAGCACCTGGATCTGTCCTCCAACAGCCTCCAGACGCTCCCCCCAGGACTGCTGGCCAGTCTTGGGGCCCTGCGCACCCTTGACCTGGGGGACAACCAGCTGGAGACCTTGCCACCTGACCTCCTGAGGGGCCCGCGGCGCTTGGAGCGGCTGCACCTGGAGGAGAACCGGCTGCAGGTCCTTGGAGAGCGTCTGCTGGCACAGCAGCCGGCCCTGCGCTACCTCTTCCTGGGTGACAACAGGCTGACCACGGTGGCTGCCGGCGCCTTCCACAACCTGAAGGAGCTAGACATGCTGGACCTCTCCAACAACCTGCTGTCCAGCGTGCCCAGAGGGCTCTGGGAATCCCTGGGAATGCCCTCCAGGGACATGGGGGACGGCTTTGACATCTCGGGCAACCCCTGGGTCTGCGACCAAAACCTGGATGACCTCCTTCGCTGGCTGGTGGCCAACAAGCACAGGATGTTCTCCCAGAATGACACGCGCTGTGCTGGGCCTGACGCCCTGAGGGGCCGGATGCTGCTGGAGGTGTCGGGGTCCCCGTGAGGCCTGGCGCCGGGGTGGGTGGCCGAGACCCCAGGGTTCCCACTCGTGCCCACGCCCAGGGCACTTGGCAGCCTCCTGACCTGCGCCCACACCCGCCCTCCCTGGATGCCGATGCTCCATTTCCCGCATCCCTTGGTCCCCGGGTTCCTCCTCTGGCGGTGTCCTGGCCACATCTGGCTTTGTCTTCCCAGTTTGGGGGCTCTCTGAGTGCTGGCCTGACCCGGCACCGCCCAGGGACTTAATAAACACCTGCTGGCCCTGGCCCGAATCGGATGACTCTTGTGTTTCTGCACCCTTGATGCCCAGGATGGAGGAAGAGGTGGCGGTCACCTAGAGCCAATGGCCATGGGGATCAGACGGCCCCGTGGCCTCTACTCTCCCTCCCCTATCTGGGGCCGTGACTGGCCATAAATCCCGACAGTCGCTGGGTGTCGTCTTACAGGTGGATTCCTGCCAGAGCCTGTGTCCCAGATTGCCCAGGTCTCCAATGCCTCCTGCAGGCATGGGATCTTTTGAGGGGATGCCTGCCCAGGGCCAGCTCAACCGGACACTGAAGGCACTGGAGGGGCTGGTCAGAGGGGCATGTTCTCAGGGCTCAGATACTGGGCCCCTGCCAGTGCAGAGTTGGGCATGTGGGGGCTGGGGTCAGATTTGGGGGATCCTGAAGTGTTGGGGCACAGGCTTTACAATCCCCTTGGAAGGTTATGTCCCCAGTGAAAAGCAGGGACCTGAAGTCTAACAGCTGGTTTCAATCAGATTCTTCAGTCCTAGGACACGGGGCAAGTGGTCTAGGCTTTGAGCCTCAGTCTGCTCTTTGGAAACATGTGGACCCAAGGGACGGGCTGCTGGCTCCCAGCTTAGTTAAATGGCAAATTTAATTAGGAGCAGAGCCCCCTGGTACACACCTATAATCCCAGCTTCCCAGGCAGAGGCAGGAAGATGACAAATTTGAGGCCAGCCTCAGCTACTTGGCGAGGACCTCAGCAACTTAACAAGCCTTGGTTTCAAATAAGAAAATTAAAAGGGCGGGGATCCGGCTGGGCAGGAAAGCATCTCTGGGTTCGAACAAAATTAAGAAGAAAGAAAATCTTTGCAGGGGCAGGGCCTGGGGCTCAGTGGTGGCGCGCTTGCCTAGCACACATGAGGCACTGGGCTCGATCCTCAGCACCACATAAAAACAAATAAAGATCTCGTGTCCACCTACAACTAAAAAATAAATATTAAAAAAGAAAATCATCAGAGACTTGCCCAAGCTCACTTGGTCACTTGGCAAGGTAGTGAGGAGGGCTGTAATCGCCCTCCATTGTCCCTGCGGCACAGCAGTGAAGGTGACAGGTGACACTGTCTGGCCAAGGCCAGTAGCCCAATCCTTGGGCATCTGGCGTCCCTGGATTACTATGGCAACCTGGGAGTGCTAGGCGAGGGCAGGAGCCCAGGAGGGTAGACTGGAGCCCCGCCCACGGACCGGCCCTGTGCTCTGTGCTCTCTTCCTATTGGTCGGTTCCAAGAGGCCCCGCCTCCGAGCAGCTATAAGGCGGGCGGAGCCGGCGGGGGCGGAGACTGGGGCCCGAGACTGGAGCCGGGACTGGGGTCCTCAGAGGCACCTGGCTCAGGTCCCAGGCTGCGAGCGACCAGGTGAGTGCTGCGGCCTGCGTCCCGAAGTCCCCCAGGCTGGGGACCCCCAGTCGGTGGCTGGAGAGGGTGCGGCGGTGTGGCAGGGGTTCGATGGGCCAGAACAGGTGGCTGAGACCCTTGGCCCAGTTGGCCCACGCTCAGGACCCAGTTGGGAGGGAACCAGGGCTCAGAGGGCGCAGGGGTGGCAACAGGGGAAAGAGCCGCAAGTGGCCAGTCTGAAGTTTGAGGTTGAGCTGTGACCCTGCTAGCTGAGTGACCTTGGGCGCAGTGGGGACCTGTTGCGTGCAGCCGGGGCACCCTGCCCCCCTCTGCCAAAGGACTGTGGGCGGATCCGGATCCTGCAGCTACCACCTGTACCTCTGCCCGCGTGTGTAGGGGCTGCTTAGGCAGGTCTGTCCCTGGCAGGGGCAGTAGGGATCGCCCCCATTTTACAGAAGAGGAAACAGCTCAGAGAGGTGAAGGACCTTGCCCGTGGTCACACAGCAGGTAATGGCAGGACTAGGGCCAAGTCTATCTCTCTCCAGCCCAGGTTGTCACCAGTGGCAGTTCACTGTGCACCTGTGGGTTTATGCGTTGTCTGTGCCCTGCAGGACTCCCACTCCATGAACCCTAGAGGGAAAGCCATTTGCCCACGTCACAGCCCAAGTGGACAGGACCCCAGCTCTGCGAGTTTAGGGAGGGCAGGAGCTGGGAGGGCTGGCATGCAGGAGTCCCCTCACTCTGTCCTGTCCCCAGGTGACCCTGTTCGCAGCAGCCATGTCTGAGGATGAGGCCTCTCAGGCCCCCCAACCCAACTTGTGTGAGCAGGACCAGCAGGTGAGGGGCTGCCCCCTCCGTGGAGCAGGGGCTCAGGGAGGGAAGGGGGACAGTGCTTCCCGGGCAGTTTCAGGCCGATGTCCCAGCCCTGCCCTCACTGGGAGAACCAATATTGGGCACGTTGAGAGCCACGGAGAGGCTGGTGCAGCCTGCTGGTTCCCCAGGCTGTGAGGAGGTCCTGGCCGGGCACCATCTCCCAGGACACTGGCCCTGGCCAGCGCAGTCCCTCGTCCACTCTGCATCCCTGCTGCCCCTTCCTGCCTGTGTCCACTCTCCACAGTAACAGTAATGGCAGCTGTCAGGATATGGCCAGTCCCCTCGCTCACGGCCGAACACCACCCACTGCCCTGGAAACCCACTTTACAGACGGGGAAACCGAGGCTCAGAGCAAGCAGGTCACTTGCCTGAGCTCACACAGCTCCACAGTAGCCCACCAGAACCGCACCTGGGCCGAGGTGTCAGAGGCAGTGCTCTGACGGCTGGGTCCTCGTGCCCGCCAGTGCCCGCCAGTGCCCGCCAGGAACACAGAGGACTCCCGAGCTTCGGCACTCTGGGTGCTCCTGAGAACCAAGGCTGGCACCGCAGGGGGCCGCCAGGCTTCTCCCCGACTCCCATCCCATCCCTCAGCGGGCTCTGGGGTGGCTGGGCCCCTGTCCCCTGGACCCCTGACGGCAGCCCTTCCCACAGAGCGTGGTGCAGCGGGTGGCGGCACTGCCCCTGGTCAGGAGCACCTGCACAGCCATCTCTGGGGCCTACAGCGCCGCCAAGGACAGGCACCCGCTGCTGGGCTCCGCCTGCCGCCTGGCCGAGCACTGCCTGGGGGGCCTCACCAGCCAGGCCCTGGGCCGCGCGCAGCCACTGCTGGACCGCCTGCAGCCTCAGCGTGAGTCCCTCCGCAGGACGCGCCCCGGGCTGTCCCCTGAACAGGGGTCCCTCCTTGGCCACCCTGCCTGTCCCCTCACGTGACCTCCCTCGGCCCACCTGGTGCCTTGTGGCCCCTCCCCCCCATGCCTTGCAGCCACTGTCTGTCCACCTCTGTCCCCTGGCCTCTCCTCCCTGTCCTGAGCCCCACAGCCTCGGCCGAGCCGCCACCTCCCGCATCTCCAAGGCCCCTGTCACCAGCTCAGGGGTCCCCCTTGGTGACGGGCAGAAAGACCCCTGCCCCCCATGTGAGCCAGAAGCGGCTGCCCTGGCCTGGGTCCCCAGCTCCTCTCCTGCTGTGGCCTTGGGCTGCCCGCTGGGCATCGCTGAGAAGTCACCTTGGGGCTGAGGGGCGGGGCAGGGGGAGAGCCAGGGCCAGGGAGGCGGGCCCTGCCCGGTGGCCCTCCTGCACCCTCCCTGGGAGATGGCCGCTGGCTGGGAGGCTCCCAGGTCCCCAGGGTCCAACTCCTCCCCCAGGTCCCTGTCCCACAGGCCTGATGCCCACCCGGCTTCTCTGGGCTCTCTGGACGACTCGGGGCCTGCACAGCTGCCCCCTCCCCCCGCT